ATGTAAAAATTGAATATTATAATTTTATTAAATTAAGTGATATAAAATAAAAAGATAAAAGCAAAGTAAAAAATTTAGTAAAATAAAATAAATAAAGTTAAATAAAAAAAAATAAACAAAGTAAAAAGGTTAAATAAAAAAATAAAATATATAATAAAATTAAATATAATTAAAACAAAATAAAATTTTATAAAAAAATAAAACAAAAGGAATTAAATAAATAAATTAGAATAAAGTAACATATTTAAGAAAAATAAAATACAGAAAAATAAAATAATTAAATTAAATTTAAAAAGTTTAATGTTGGATGTGAGTACAACAACAGAATTTGAACCCGCTAACCACTCGGCTATCGCGGCCGTTTGAAGTTATTGCAGATTAAATTTGTGGAGTAAAATTCGTAATGTCACTCATACGCACTGTTGCACCAGACTCTTCACACCGACCTAATGTGTAATTGCTTTCAATTGTAATTACTCCAAAGCCAGCTTGCTGCAACTGTGTGTGTGTGTGTGTGTGTGTGTGTGTGTGTGTGTGTGTTTGTGTTTGTGAAAATAGCTATTTTAATTTTTTTACTGATAATGAAAGCATATGTGCATGTGCTAATTGTTTTTTATTTCGAAATTAATTGCACACTCTTGTAGCTTTATTCTGCAAGCTCCACGATATGTTCAGTTGGCAAATTTCAGGTATTAATGTTAAATTGCAGTGCAACACGGTTTTTAATGAAGAAAATATGTTCACGGTAGAGACGGTTGTATGTGGAATTGTATGTATTTTCATTTATCACTTCACTGCACTTGCATACATGCCACTTTTTCTATACTATACTCGTACACTGACACATTTACTTTAAATTATGAAATTCTTGATGAAATTTGCACTGAAGAATTATGCTCAGATCAACATATATCATATATCAGAAGACTAAATAAAGCCATTTAAATATATTGAATATGCTCTTCATGATCGGATATTTGATTTTTTTTGTGGTTTTTTATATTGTCTTATGGCAAATTATGGGAAGTTTCTTCATTGCTCATTGTGAGCCACAGTTATTTGTTTTGAACAAACAGTTTGCTGGCTGGTAGCTTGACAAACTAGTTTCAAAATATCTCTCCAGCTGGTTTATTTGACGGCATAGTATCCACCATTACCATTACCAACCTCAACAACCTCAACATAACGATCATTTCCGAAACAAAGTTCAACTTTAACGGCAAACATTCAATAATTCCCTTTATTGCAACGCTTAACAGCTGTTAAAAATTGTAAGCGCGCATAAAAAGCGTTAAATGACGCTTTGAAGATGAAACCAAACGAAAAAAAAACAAAAAAAAAAACAAATGTACAAAGTTCCGCATTGCGTATAAAATTCATTATAATTGCAAAAATTTTCAGTAAAGTTGTAATGCGAGTACAAAAGGACTATGTATTGTGTGCAGCCTGAAAGTATGCAACACAGTTTTTGTGATTTACGTATTTTTTCACTTTCTGAAACTACCAACGTATGCAAATGCACGAATAGTCAAATGTATGCATGAGCAATTGCATTTATGTGCATACATACATACATACATACATATGTATTCAAATAAAATAAAAAATTATAATAATGAAAAAAATTTAATTATACTTTTTCCAACCGAAAAGTCAAGTGTTGGCTACAACTTTCAACAGCAGCGTTGAGCAATAAATTGAAATAAAATTTAATAGTAATGTACATTACGAAATTTTTACGTTTTAATACACTTACGACAACGCTAATGGAAATCGTTACCAGCTTGTGTACATAAAATTTATTGTGCATACAGTTTGACTTCGCTCTTTCATTTCTATATTTCTCCTTTTATTTCTACCCAATTGGCACTGTAAAAATTGTGTGCTTGACACAGAAGGAGGTCAAGTGTTGAGTAGATACTCTGAAGTATAAAATCGTGAAAATAAAATTTAAAATCATAGTTAAGGAATACAACGAATTTTTGTGTAAAAGCAGGGCGATAAAACGATTGGTCAATGCTTTTCCTGACACCCAAGTGCTTTGATAATGAAATGGAGTAAAATTGTATGTATCAAAGTGAATTTTGTAGTAAAAGTCTAATGTCTGATGGACTAAAAAAAAAATGTAAATTTCATATGAAGTAAGATAAAAACATGAAAATAATATTTAATTTATACCAAGGCTTAAATTTTATTTAATGTAATATTAACAATTTTAAAGTAATAAAAAATGGAAACCCGATTTTTTTAGTGAATTATTTCCCAATTCAAGTTAGTTATTGCCATAACTCACAGTCAATTTTATGAACTCTGGTAAATGGCGTCGGTAATAAAATAATCCAGTTAGACATTTTATGGTCCCATCGAAAAAATTTCAACAACAACTCCACTTTTCTGCGGAATACTCCTTTCCTAAATTGATTTTTTCAATATTTTTAATTTTCATTTTACTTAATTTCGTTTATTTTTATTTTATTATATTTCGTTTAACTCTATTTTATTTAGCTTCGAATTCATTTCAAATAAATTTTGTTTATTTTCTTTTTTTATTTTATTTTATTTTATTTTATTTTAATTAATATTATTTATTTTATTTCATTTTCTTTTCTTCAATTTTATTTTATTTCTATTTTATAATATTTTATTTTATTTTTTATATATTTTGTTTAATTCTCTAATTTTATATTATTTAATTTCCATACTTAATTCTTTTTGTTTTCTCTTTTTTATTCTAATTTATTTCATTTTAGTTTACTTTATTTCAATTCTTTTCATTCCATTTCATTTTATATTGTTTTCTTTTATTTATTTTTTTATTTTTTAATGGTATACAAAAATATATATTTATTTGATGTTATAGTATTTTATTTTAGTTTGTTTTATTATATTTTAATTTTTTTTATTTTATTTTATTCTATTTTATTCTATTTTATTTTATTTTATTTTATTTTATTTTATTTTATTTTATTTTATTTTATTTTATTTTATTTTATTTTATTTTATTTTATTTTATTTTATTTTATTTTATTTTATTTTATTTTATTTTATTTTATTTTATTTTATTTTACTTTATTATTATTTAATTTAATTTAAATTAATTTTTATTTACAATATTTTTTGTCAAAAAGGTTAAAAAAATTTTTCTAGCCGAAATACCGCGTTGGTAATCCAAGTGTTCGCCAATTTAGCATGAAAGTTAGAATAAAACTTTTATTTCGTGCAAGTTTGTGTAACTTCTTTGCCAATTTTCCATTACAATGCAAGCAAAAGCTTACAATGAAGTTTCCTTTCTACACATTTGCGCATTTTATTTACTTCTTTTCTTTCACTGAAAACTAGATTTATTAGGAAATATCTTATAAAAACCTTTACGTCTATCAATGACAGAATCGAAGTTAACTTTTAGAAATGAATGGAAAAGTTTTGGCACAAATTCGTGTACAATCAGTTAGTAGGTGTGTTGGATAAGATAAGTAAGGCAACAGTTCTTAAATTAGCTTTATATAAAATAGTATTCATTTTAAGATTTGCTCTTTTTTATTCCTGTTTTCTGGCTACTTTCATTACGACTTCAACATTTATTGAAAGGTCGTAGCACAACTCCGCTGTACCGACTTCCAAGCAGCATATTTTTGTTACTTTATTTCATTTAGTTTTACTTAATTTGTATCAATTTTCAATAGGCTAAATTTGATTTCACTTTACAGTCGAAATAATATATTTCTCTTAATTTAATTTACTCAACTTGTAAACAAACCGCGTGAGCTGTCAGAAATATTCTATGTTGATCAATGCAAGCGAGCACCATTCACAATAGCGCTATGCTCTATCAAAAGCGCAACCTTCACAGGCGAAAATGGGAGTGAACTAAAAATGATTTTTAGTTTTATTCAATTAAATTTTTATTTAAGTGAAAAGTACTCACCGATTTTTCTACAGAGTTAAATAAAAGCATAAGTGTTTCGTGACAACACTTAAGTAAGGATGTGCATGGATTTTTTTCTAGTACAAAGCCTATCAAACTGTTGCGTGCAAACTAAGAATTTAGTTAAAGGTTATTTTATATTAAATAAAATAAGACTGATATGCCGAAAAAATATTGTAAAAAATATTTGAAAAAAAATTCAAAATATAAATATGTATATACATAAAATTATATATGACTGATAAGAATATTAAAATAGTAATTAATCATATTTATGATCAAATTGAAAAAAGATAGATAGAAAAAATCGAATTAAAGATGTATATATGTTGTGAAGTGCGTTGCAATGTAAATTTCAATGCAGTAGAAGCATAGAAATGCGCTAAAATAAATAGTAAAAAATGCAATAACTAAAAGAAAATATAATTTAAATTCAATTTAAATCTTCAGTTAAGATTTAAATACTTAAGCATAGCAATAGTGCATTTTTAACTAACATAAAACTGATGTTGGCTTATATTGTACAATAGTGAAATAATATTGTTAATTAAAATATATTTTTTTTCAGTGAGAGTGTTAAAAAAAAATATAAAATAAAATGTTAAATATAAATAGTCACATAACTCACTTAAGCAATTAAAATCAATTAGACGTTATACATATTTTTACGAAAGTAATCTGATTTCTATTTACTTAAAATTCATTTTCCTAATTAAATTTACCGCTAACCCACATCTTTGCTTACCTAAAAGCTTGTATACACATATATATTTATATAGAAATATGTGTTTTTAAGTGAAATTTTATATCTTTATCATGTACTATCTTACTGTATATCTGTCCATTGCTACAAGGTTTTATTTTCTATTTCATTTTAAATTCATTAAATTTTCTTTTCTTATTTAAACCTTAGTATCGCTGTGTAGATAAGAGTGTTAGTATGTGTGTGTGTGTTTGATATATGTACGTACGATAGTAATCGAAATCAGTAGGGTTGAGTGGGTTTGAAGGGCGTACAGGGCAAATATTCTATTACTTATATATGTACGTTTGTATGTAGACTACCAACACTTACCTTGAAAACCTGACGACAGAGGAAATTCTCTTTAACCGGAAGCAATCTGTAATGAGAGAGAAAATAAACACAAGTCAAATAAGGTTGATGATAAAAGGAAGTATATAAGAGGCAAGTGATTGAGTCAGTCGGAGACACAATTGGACTCACACATACATATAGACATGTATAAAAATGAGATTTGTAAACTGCCGGGTTTTAAATAATGCAGGAAATGTTGAGTGGGCGGGTCAATTGATGGCAGGAGAAATATAAAAGAGTTTGCGAGAAAAGGAAATTAGTTTGGTTTGAGTAGATTTGAGATATCATATTTCACTAAAATATGCAGAAAGTTAAGAAAATGTTGGCATATTTGATTGCCAGCGAAGAAAGGGAAACGGATGAAACGAAAGTAATGGTATTTCACATTTTTTTTTTTTTGGTGTGAGTTTACGCAAGAGTGAGGGAGATAGAGAGAGAGATAGTGAAAGGGAGAGAGACAGACAGAGAGGGATAGAGATATAGAAAGATAGAGAGAGATAGAAAGAGAGAGAGAGAGAGTAAGATAGAGAGTTGCCGTCGTGGCTTCTAGTTACTGCTCTCCAAAGGAGAGTGTTATATGATCACTCTTATCTTCTTGACCATTAACATACAAAGAAAACAATCGAGCTTGATCTCTTTCCCAACGATTCCACTATGATCCGCTACACAGAAGAGCTTAATGACGATTAAACTTAAAGCTAAGGCAGCGAAAGGCGTCATAACGTCCCGGCGTCCGAGTCAACAACAGCCCGCTTTTATGTTCTTCTTATCATTACTTGGCGCTTGTAGGTATTACTTTTAGCGTTCTTCCATCGGCGGATCAGAAGTTTTCAAAGCTTGAGTATTCTTATCTATCCGGGCCACATGACCTAGCCACCGAAGCCAGCACTGAATTATGTCGATGTCTCCGTATATCTTGTACAGCTTATCGTTCCATTGACAATACAGTATTCCCCACTACCAATGCTCAGAAGACCATAATATCTACAATAAAACTTTCCTTCAATACTCGTAACGCCGACTTATCAGATGCTGTCATCGTTCATACCTCCTCATCATGTAGCAGAACGGTAATAATGAGCGACTTGTACAGTTTAATCTTTGCTCGTCGAGAGAGGACTTTACTTTTCAGTTGCCTACTCAGACCAAAGCTGCATTTAGTTGATGTGACTGTTTACTCTAAATTAAGCGAAGTTATCTACGACTTCAAGGTTATGACTGTCGACCATGACGTGGAAGCTGATTCCCGGGTGAGATAACTGTTTGTATTAAACTCTGCACCTCATATTATTTTCTCCGGAAACAAATTAAAGAAGTAACACAATAAGGAGCCATCTTGTCTGAAGCAGAGTCGTGTAAAGAAGGGCTGTGGGAGGTCCTTTACGATACTGGCGGAAATTTCAGAGAGATCCTTTCACCTAAATATGTCGGAGTGACTCTTCTGGAATTGAGTATAGCATTTCCATCTTCCATCCACGTCGCGCACCATGAGAAGATGAGCAACTCTTATGCAAGCCAACCCGTGTGGAACTTTAGGTAACGGGTAAAAGAGAAGAAGCTTTAGAGGAGCCGATCCGACGACTACAGACTAAAACATCACTAAATGGGCACTAAAGTAATAATGATGTTTCATCTTCCGGCTAAAAAATTTAAAAAAAAATATCTGACAAAAAAGTCATACAAAATTAATTTATTAATAAATTTTATTATTAATTCAAAAGTTCAACTCAAATTTTAAGTAATTAGTAAAAGGCAGCGCAAGCCTTAGCTGACAAGGGTTTTACAAGCAGATGCTGACATAACAGACGTCACTGAAGATTACATTAAAATGCGCAATATGAACAATTACATAGAGAAAGTCAACAACACCAAAAACAACTACAATAACAACAACAACAATATAATTAAATGCATATTTACTCACTTGGCCATTTCGGAGAGTTGCAGACGTCCATCCTTGTTGGCATCGAAAACTTGTAACTACAAGTAAAGCAGAAGAAGAGGAAATATGAAAAAATTTAATAAAAAAGTGAGAAGTAAGTAGAAGCTGTAAGTGAGGCAATGAAGATACACAAAATGAATGCGACGCAATCAGCGTAGAGTGGAAATGAGTAAATTTTATGGTAAATTTAATGCAAACACAAATACATACTCGTATTAACTGGCATTCATTAATTATTTAGTAAATTTGTGGAATAGCTCAACGCTCATACTAGGCTTTTATATACATTTCATTTATTTCAAATTATTTTTTTTATTCTATTTTTTAATTAATTTTATTTTATAATTGTTTTTGCGGCCATGCTATATATTAATTATTCTTAAGTAAACTATGAGGCCTTGTTGTTTATTATTTCTTTTTTTTTTGATTTACTTAATTTTATTTTACATTATTTAATTTATTTTATTATCTTGATTTTCATTTTATTTTATTTTTTGATTTTATCTTATTTTTTATTTTTTTTTTTGATTTGTTTTCAATTGATATTATATTAATTCATTTCAATTTAATTTAATTTAATTTTTTTATTTTATTTTACTTTATTTTATTTTATTTTATTTTATTTTATTTTATTTTATTATATTTTATTTTATTTTATTTTTTTTTATTTTATTTTATTTTAGTTTATTTACGTATTTTTCTGCGCTTGAACACCTTAAAATTATGCAAATCTTCGCGTGATGCTTTGCTCCGTTAGTTTCCTACACCGTCGCCAACGTCAACGTCAGCAGCGTCAACTGACGAGAGTCGTGTTGCTGCTCTCTTTGGGTCACTTCGGCGGCTCCCCATGGCAATTAAGTGAAATTTTATGCTTTTGTTACAATTACAACAACAATAGCTCGTAATTTGAAACACCTTTTCTGTGATGCAACAGCAAAGCTCCCACGCAGCAATGATTTAATAATAATGCGATAAGAGACGCTCAGGTGGAAAGTTTTTGCTTTACAACCAGTTCACTATTTTTTGGTTATTTCAGTTTTTTCCTTTTCAAATGAAGTAATTTAGTCTATTACATTTCAGCTGTGGATTGAGAAAATCTGTGCTCAGCCAGCTGGGGATTTCACTCGTTCGTTTAGGTTATTTGTTATAAATTCTGGCAAATTAAGTAAAGAGTTTTGAAAGAAGAATGAATATTCATCAAATCGTTTTCCTTATATTATACACAAAGTCTTCTCTTCGGGTTCGGAAACTATTCACTGAAGTTTCTGCAGCAGTAATTTGATGGTACACCCAAGTTCTCTGCGTGTCTACCTAAAAGACCTTCTCTTCTTCCAAATCAGCCAAATTATTCTAGTGGGTTGGCATCTGCGATGAAAGACGGCTGAGCCCAAGTTCAGCGCACAATTTTGTCACTATTGATGCTTCCTCCCTTTACACGTTACTTAAGGCTCCACTGCATTTAAAGTGTTTGTTGTTCTGTGCCGAGAGGCGACCGCAATGAGAAAAATACATTTTCTATCATTTTGGATGTTGTGGTGAACTCTGACCTTTTAAGTAAACACAGCTATTGAAGCGTAATTTCCTAAAATGAGCAAGGCCACTTCGGTTCGCATCTGCCAACCTTGAAGAATTATGAAAATCTCTTTCCGTAATTCGCTTTTAGCTATAAGGCTTTAGCTAAGCTAAGCTCATTAGGATCGATTCAGGAAAGTCTTTGTAAAGACTTGGCAGAAGCAGCAATATTCAAAGTGTTCTCAAGTCCGAACAAGTGAAATACTTCATTGGTGCTAAGCTTCCTGAAATACGCCTGGTTTTGGTGTTTATGTTTTTCACCTGGCGGCTCTTTAGTCCTTTACCACTTAGTTACTTATGTCCACTTGCAGCCGCACTGCTGGTGAACAGACGCTGTATTTACACTTTAGTCAATCCTTGAACTGATATTTACAGGCCCAATGCTCTACACGAGGACGCTTTTAGACGAAATATTACCATTGCACTCATCAAAGCAAAAGATGTGTAATAAGCCAAACTGTTCCTAACATAATTTTACCCAAGAAACAGCTTGAAGTTGTCTTTCAAAGGCTGAAGCTGTCAAGATATTCCTTAACCGTGAACAACCTGTAGTTGCCAGTTGGACAACGGAGAGAACGCAGCTCTTACCTGCCTGGCAAGAGCATACTGGGTGGCAACTACTTTAATATCTACTACTCTTTTAGTCCTTAAGGAGGCGTTCACCCAGGCAAACGAGCGAAACAAATTAAATCCAAGAAAATCTAAGAACCTAGACATCGGTGCGTGCTGGAGGAAGAGGTGTACTGGTAACTTTTTGAAAAAGCAGGAGAAATTTGGGGCCTAACAATCAAGGAAAATGAAGCACAACTCTACGCAGTGAAAAAGTCATCCATTTCTATATCGCAGGGGACAAAAAAGCTTTATCATGCATCAGATGCAAATTTTGAAATATTTTTTTTGGGACTCATGACGGTGAAAGCCGCTGTCGGTGTAAGGAAGCTTCGATTGTACGACGTGACGCTAAGAACGGATGGCTGAAAGCTCGCCAGCTTTAAAACTATTCGGTTCGCTCTTCTTAAAGGATAGTATCAAGTGGACTTCGAAATCAACGCCAAACAACTATTATTGCGTTATCGCTTCCTTCCAATTAAGAAGAAGAAACAACATAATTCACCAACCGACTGATTGATTCTTTTCTAACTTTCTTATAGCTTCCATCACTTAAATTTGAAAACCAAAATAATTGATTAAATTCAATGTATGTATGTATGAATATATGTATAAATGTAGGAGCGACTTAAAATGAATACGTCAAACCAATTACGCTTTGATATGATACTCGTAGCAAGAAACCCATCAGACACATTTAGGACGCATGCACATGACCCGTCAATCAAAGTGTCATCTCTATACGGGTATGTATGTACATAATTCAGAGCCATTTCTTCTGTTGCTTTGCACGCAATTTCGAAATGGGCTAATACTTTGCTTGGGCACGATACCCTATAGGGAGTAACCTAAAATTATAAATGAACTAGTATTTAACTAGTATAGAGCTGATGCATGATTGGAAAAATGGCGTTTCTTGAGGTAAAGCCTAGTTAAAAAAATATATGTATATGTCAAATCATTCACTAAAATAGATTGCTTAGGCAATCATAGCTGAGTTAACAACACTGCGCAATTCATTCCTTCTTTTCGCCTCTGAGCTAGATCCTACACCACCTGGTCTTTCCAGCGAAACGGTGGTCTTCAATGCTCCGAAATCTGTAGTATCCTTATCCATTCGAGCCACATGGCCTAGCCAGCGTAGCCACTCTCTGTTCTTTCGTTGAACAGCTCATCTTTCCATAGGCTGCGGTACTCGCCGTTACCAACTCATAGATTACCAAACATCATGCCTCCGTACCTAGCAGAACGAGAATGACGAACGAATTGTACCTGCACCTGCACTTGCAGGCAAGAGTGATTCTGCGCTGGATTTAAAGGCTGACATTAATATTGGCATTGATGCTCGTTTTAGATAGACGAAATTATCTACGAAATTAAAGTTATTACTGTCAACAGTGACGTGGAAATCGAGACGCGAATGCGATGACTATTTGTTTGATGACAAGATATTTTTCGCCTTATCTTCGTTCACTACCAGACCCACCCGCTTCGCTTCCTTATCCAGTCTGGAGAAAGCATAACTCACGGCGCGGTTGTTAAGGCCAATAATGTCAATATCATCGGCGTACGCCAGGAGCTGTATATTTTTTATAAAAGATTGCACCGTCGCTGTTCAGATCCGCAACTCTTATAATTTTATCCAGCAAAAAATTAAAGAATTCTTACGGTATGTAATCAGCTTGTCAGCAGCATTTCGTTTCATATCGAACGACTCAAGGAGTTCCTTCGCGATCCGGACGAAAATCTGATCAACGATGTAATCACCAGGTTGAAGGCCACATTGCTAAGGTCGGAGGAAGGCAGTTGAAGTAGTTGCATAGTAGTTAAGAGTTATTACTTTCTCTGCAGGATACGAACTCTCACACATACTTGCCTGAGCTTCACACAATCAAGAGCTGTTATGTTATTTGGTCGAGCTTTTGCTTGAAACGCTTTTTATGGTGCAATTTTTTCTTTGGCCAAACTTTGAAAAAAAAAATTTAACCCCGAAAAACGCGTAGAATTTTTATTACTTTCAGAGTAAGACATGCGTTTCACCTCCTTCACTAGCAGCGCAGCTGACAATTAAGAGCATCAAATAGAATTTTTGTTTAATTAATGTCAAACCAGCAGATAAGATTATGAAAAATCGTGTGCGTAAGGGATAAAAAATGAAGCTGTGAACTACTGAAAACACAATTTCCTTAACAAATAAAGCACTTTCCCAGCAAATAAAAAATTTTAATGCGAAATTTTTTATTAGCACTTCAACACAGCGCCAACTGCATGCACCAAAAAGTTCCCAATTTTAATATTCTCAAATTTAAATATTACGTATATGTATGTATTCCATTATTTAAATTAAATATACTCGTATAAACAAATATGCTCAAAAGTTCAAAATATTCTCTCATACTTATTTAGTATATAGCCGAAAATTTTTAATTAAAAAATTTTCAAATCTCAGTAATAAAAGTTGGGCTAAACTTTTTTTTTCATCTCTTACACCCTGTTGTTATGCTAAATCGCTAGCGCCACTTTGACAGGAAGTGCGAAGAAGCGAAAAAGCGATAACAAGCGACAACTACTTAAAAATACATATTAATAAAAATTGCCCAGAAAAAAATATTGATGATTGGCAGACAAAGTTTTGAAATTTGCGATAAAGTTGAAATAAAAAAATAAAATAAAACTCAATAATCGGCAAGAAACTACGCACATAAAATATAACCAATGACAGAGGGCAAACTAAAATTGAGACTATCAACTGAAAACAAAAAAAAAAAAAATTAAAAAAATAAAAACAAAGTTAACAGTTACAGGATGAGAAGAACATGGCGAAAAGCTGTTCAAAAGTGACAACTACTAAACTGTA